GCTATACATATCCAATAAACAGATGCAAAAATAATTTCTTGCAACCCCTTTCGTCACATAGAAATCCCCCCCCAATGTGTTTATAAATCGAATACGGCAAAACGGAGGTAGTTATCACTTTCTAGTTTGTGCAGAAAAATATTGCTATACATATTCAATAAACAGATGCAAAAATAATTTCTTGCAACCCCTTTAGCCACATAGAAATCCACCCCCAATGTGTTTATAAATCGAATACGGCAAAACGGGGGTAGTTATCACTTTCTAGTTTGTGCAGAAAAATACTGCTATACATGTCCAATAAAAAGATGCATAAATAATTTCTTGCAACCCCTTGCGTCACATAGAAGTCCGCCCCCAATGTGTTTATAAATCGAATACGGCAAAACGGGGGTAGTTATCACTTTCTAGTTTGTGCAGAAAAATACTGCTATACATATCCAATAAACAAATGCAAAAATACTTTCTTGCAACCCCTTGCGTCACATAGAAATCCACCCCCAATGTGTTTATAATTCGAATACGGCAAAACGCGGGTAGTTATCACTTTCTAGTTTGTGCAGAAAATTACTGCTATACATATCCAATAAAAAGATGCAAAAATAATTCCTTGCAACCCCTTGCGTCACATAGAAATCCACCCCCAATGTGTTTATAAATCGAATACGGCAAAACGGGGGTAGTTATCACTTTCTAGTTTGTGCAGAAAAATACTGCTATACATATCCAATAAACAGATGCAAAAATAATTTCTTGCAACCCCTTGCGTCACATAGAACCCCCAAGGTTTTTGCAAATTTAGCCTAATAGCCGCAATCTCAAAAATTGTATCTATACTTTGATTTACAATTTTTTCCAAAGCACACAAAACAAGTGTTTTCACCAAGAATTAGTACATCACCTTGTTTACATGATTGTATGCAGTAAACACATTGTGAAAAATGTATCATATTTTACCTCGAAGTTTTCCACCCTGAACATCTAATTCAGTCAGGCTGAGAACTGCAATATTTTTCTATCCTGAAAAACGCATCAATTGAGGGCAAGATATTTGCAAGAGTTTTCCGCCGTCGTAGAAACCGCTTCCACCAAGGTGACTTCTGGTTCAGGCACACAGGTGGGTTATTCCTTCTTTTTTTATCCAAATTATTTTTTTTCCATTTTTTCTTGTTAGCATTCCGCCTCACGCAGTTGAAGTCACAGCCATGTCAATTACATCAAGTACATCAATGTCTATTATTTATCTTTACTTTAATATTTGTCTTATTTTCGTATTTGTTTATTGGATATGTATAGCAGTATTTTTCTGCACAAACTAGAAAGTGATAACTATTCGCGCATTGCTTGTTTGTAAAGGTGGACGCAATCTACATTTTTTTGTATTTCTGTGGTATTCGGGCATCTTCGGAGAAACGGTTGCTATCTTTGGTTGCTGTCTTCACGCAGGTCTTGTACGAGGTCATCATCTTCATCGCCATCAAAGAGGTAGGCCTAGAAATCCTACAATATATTTGTGAACGGGTTCGTGCGCACCACCTTGTCTGACTGAGTGACTCTATACTAACCTCGCGTCTGTGAATTTTGTTTTTCTGCCGTTCTTGTTCGTTTTTCGTAGGGTTGAGGGTGTCCTTATTTGTAAATTATATTGTAGCGTTAGGTATATGGCTAGTAATATATGTTAGTCGAATTAGAGTCGTTTTTAATTATTACTTATTAACCCACTGGTCCTGAGAGCAAGAGATATCCACTCGTGCAGAGCTAGTACTCCGGCGCATTACGGTAGGTACTTTACCGCCCAAACAATTAGATTCAATTAAAAAAGCGACACACCAATATTCAGGGTGTTGCAATTATTTATGGCCTCAGGATGATCCTCTTCTTCATTCAACCCAGTACGTTGATCTCGAGAAATAAGTACACGTATTTAATTGCAATTGCTACTCACAAAACATTGTTTTACACAAATATAAATAATAATATACGGGTTCCAAAGGGTAATACACATTTGAAATTTTGATAGTTATCTTCTGTTACTTCTGGTCTTGGCGTTTTGCAACCAACCGCACATGATTCCCTTAATCATCTGGTCATTCGTCTCTGCAAATAATTTGCGTACAGCCACTGCACAGAAATGAAATAATAAATTAACTGTTCATTATTTGTAAAGAATTGTTTGTAAAATTACAGATGGTGATTAGTGTTGTGTAGTGATCGTTTGAGTGCGCATGTGTGAAGATATTTAAGGGACACGTCACGCGAGGACAGTAGTGATCGAGCGGCACGGAGAGCGGTGCCGTCGCTTGTTTAGTTATAGTCGTAGTATTAATAATTACGTTTGAACAAAATATATTGTTTGCGTCGAGTTACTGTTGCAACAGTACTCGAGGGTGGGTGATAGTGCAAACGTGCGAATTGAGCAATTCTTTATTAACTAAATCCCACTAACTTTTCATCTCTTAATTGACTAACGGCAATATCTTTTAGACTTTGTCTCACGTCCAGATTTAACTTAAACACCTTGTCTAAAGGTTTGGGTGGTCTACTGCCCGTGTAACGTGAAAGCGCATCTGCTATCATATTTTCCGGTCCCGATAATTCGGAATAGTATTCTTGTAAAATAAGGGCGTAACGCGCGATCCGTGAAAACAGTAACCGACACGTTTTCAAATATACCACGGCGCTGTTATCCGTATACAGTACCAACGGTCGCCCAAGAAGGTAAATTCTAAATTTCTGAAGCGCCCACACCACAGCCAACGCTTCCCGTTCATTGATGCTATACCTACGTTCGCGTTCCATAAGCAACCGACTCGCCAAAGCCACCACCTTCCTTTCACCGTCTACCACTTGAAATAATTGAGCCCCTAGGCCGACATCGCTAGCATCCGTATTTAAATAATACGGCAGGTCTTCTCTAGGGTGGAACAACAGCGTTTTTTCTGCTAATTTTGCCTTAATCGTATCAAATGCGTAATTGGAAGAGACTGAGCAAATTAAATAAAAGGTTAAAGAAGAGCAAGAAAAGCGTAAAGCGTACACGGTTTGACCAAATTAGGGTTCCACAACATAGACTGAATACAACAACTAACAGTCCCCTTTGCATGCCCATTAAGATCTACAATTACCTACCAAAGACCATTAAACACTTACCTTATTACCCGTTTAAAAGAGCAATAAGGAGATACCTTGTAGAAAACCCATACTATAATTTAAATGAATTCTTTGCCAGGTCAACTCTGTAATTCCAGATTATTATTTCTAGTTTTTTACTTATTTGTTGATTTTTCAATTATGTGTATGACGAATGTATGTAATCTTCAAATTACTAGGACATAATAAAGATATTGATTGATTGATTGATTGTATACCCAAATCCAGAACCTGAATGGCTAGCAATGAACATACATGAACCAAGGGATTTGTCAAAAGCTACCAAAATTGGTATTCTACAGAATGGTGGACAGATAACATCACGCACTACAAGACACAGAAAAGGTGAAACGATAAGTTTGTCAAATACACAACATGTTTTTGTGACAGTCATCGTTTAACATCAGAAGACATTAATTGTACAAATAATATATTCAGTTTTTCATGCAAATTGTTAAAGAAAGGTATCGCTGCAGATATCTATCACGAGAGGGCAAATATATTGAAATCCTCCTTTCCATGTACCATACATGAAGCTCAAAAGGGTATTACAAGGGTCAATTGTGAAACCACATTAAGTAATATGCTTACAATACTTAAAGTTGTAAGCTATACAGAAATTGTATGTGAAGGTGATTTTCACGAGGAAAAACAATATACTCGAAATTTTAACAAATTCGCTCTGCTAAGAGAGGGCTTAGAGAATTTGAAAAATGCCATTGTACCTGCGAGCCAGGAGTACAACAACATGTGCGCAAAATGTAATACTGCTGTTAGGCGTACTCCATTATATTCTAATATCATTTCATCGACGTGGCGCAAATTGCGGACGAACCGGGGATGGAGGAAACATCAAATATTCCGCTCGATACGATACCGCTACCGGGAACTATGGGACACTTTGTGGCCTTTTGCAAGCGTTGCGACAGTTCTTGGGAAGTGTACGACGATCTCTCTAAAAAAATAAGTAATGTTTCAGCGTCATCAATAGTTCATACGTTTTTGTTAATTTACAGTATTTAAATTTATTATGTTATATGTTATATTTTTACTTTAATAACATTTCCATTGAATCTAGAGTCTAGACTTTTAATTCCATAATGCATGGTTATAAAAATGTAACAAAGTCATTGCGTTGTCCTCTCCCCTTTCCTCTCCAAAAGAGAAAAATGCAGCAATGGCATTATTACTACATTTTATGTAATAATGTCACTAGCATGTGCAAATTTTGAACTATTCATTAACATAACACAAAGTGTTATATTAGGAGCCCAAAATGGGCACAAAACTATAATAAAAGAAAATTTCGGAAACATCAATATTGACACTACAGCGTGAAGTTGGAGTGTCATCAGAAAAAGTCGAATAACTCATAAACCTTATGAGCACAAAATTTTAAATTAGCAGCACAGATTAGCACAAAATGAGCACAAAATTATAGTGACAGAATATTTTGAAAATATCGATGTTGACACTTCAGCGTGAAGTTGGAGTGTCATTAGAAAAAGTCGAAT